TCCTGACATTTTTGCACGGTACTATTTCATCATGCGGATGAATACACACATATATGCAGGGTTTTTCCAAGCACAAAATGGGCTTTTGCTGTTCTCATGCTGTCTTCACATGAGTGTGTGATATCTTACTAAACAATGCTGTTTCCAGTATGTGGAGTTTTCTATGATTTTATGGCCAACAACCACACATTTGTGTAAAAGTCTTCTGTAGATTTTATATTATATTATTTCTGTATATTTTGCTTTTAAGGGGGAAGACTTTCTGAAGTTTTTTCATAGTTTTTAGACATCGGCTGCTTTTTCATTCATTTTCAGTCCTGTCCTTGTACCTGACCATTTTGTTAAGCTACTTAACAATGACCAACAAGTCATTCAAGCATAAAACAGCCCCCGAACTCAAGAGATGAACCAGTGTTGTGTCTCCACAGAAGACACAGTATCTGTCTGTTTGTTATTAGCAAAAACACATGATTTAGTTCCTTTTCTGTAGTTGGATCTCTAAAAATGCCAAAGATAACACAATGAGACAGGGAAAAAATGCCATTTTTGCACCAACAAGGTGATTCCCGGGGATTTATTAGCTGGAGGCTTGACATGGTGCAGTTTGTAAACTGTAAACTGGACAATTTTCTTCAAAAAAGCACAGAAAAAGAAGTGGCAGACCAAAGAACATATCAGATGGACAACATCTGAAAGTCTTGTCCTTAAGTAATAGAAAAAGAATTCAGCAAAGACCAGGACTGAGAGCTGTATCTGACCCTTCTTGGGGGGTTTCAGCCAGTGATGTTGGACAGCTTGTCAAGTTTATGTAATTATGAATGCAGAAAAGTGCAGTTAGATTTTGATCCACGATGCAGTGCCGTCTGAAAAAAGCTTGCAGTGGCAGAATGCAGCTGTAGCTTTTATTCTGATATATAATTAATAATTAATACTAGTATAATAAATTTCAACGCTTTCTTCTTTTTGAAGCAAGAGTAAAGTAAATAATTGTTTTAGTTACTTCAGTAAGAGCTACCTTGTCAGTGGCTACTGGGTGAATTAGAGTACAATAGTGTAGATGGGGAGTGAACAGGCTCCGGTTTGCACAGATTTGCTCTAAACCTTCACGTTTCCTCCAACGTTGTTTCTCAATAAACACCTTCCCCGTAGCTCAGTGAGCACCACCCTTAATTTCTGATAAACTGTGACATGTCTGCATGAAGTCATACATCATATCAAGTCGGTGAAGACATCAGCAGCTGAACTCTTTTGGCTAGTCTTCATTACTGACCGGATCTTGTTTGCTCCCGTTTGCTCTACCTCTCTCCCTCTGCATCTCCACGGACAGATGCTCTATTTCCTCTCCCTCTCTCTCTCCCTCTTCTGCATTCTCCCCAAGAGTCAGTCTTTGTAAAAATTATTGTAGTTGAATCTGTCTCATTGTGTCGAAACAGGTGATATGATATCACTTCCTATGATTTATTTACGCTCATCATTTATTCATACGCTCCTGCCGTCTTTGCTCATTTGCTCGTGCTGTAATATCCTCTGCTCGAAAAAGTTAGACAGCAAGTTTTAGCACAAGCCGTAAAATGTGAAGTGTGATTTTATTACCGTGTGGCACAGAGCGTTCGATTTTACAACGGATCAAACAAACACGGGACACACAAGGCCCTCATTGCAAATTATTCGAGAGAAAAAGGCAATGGCTATGGATCATCTTTTTAATGCATTTGAACTTCCCGAGCTCTGACTGCGAGCGTGACTTCTATTCTACCTGTCATTACATTAGCCACACAGCTCTCCATCTCTGCATGGAGATAGCGCTGCCTCATTCTTTAAATCCCTAATGCTCTCTTTCCTAATCTTCGTTTTCACGATTGTTTTCACGGCCCGTTCAGAATGAGTGAGGTGACGTTGGGAGGATTTTCTACAATTCCTGGGTTGCCGTGGTAGCCAGGCTCAGGTGGTGCTTGAGTAAATTGAAACAGCGTGAGGGATAAGCTGGAGTGTGTGTGCGCGTGTGTACAGGTGTGTGTGTGTGTGTGCGTGAGGGAGAGAGAGGAAAAGACAGGGAGACAGAGGCTGCTTGAGGATTTGCTGAATCTGCGCACTACTGAGATAAGAGAGCGTAGCCCCACTCACGGTGGGTTACCGCGGTCTTCCAGCTAATATACTGCAGCACTGTGTGTGTGTTTGTGCATAGGTGTACTACAGAATATGTGAGTGTAATCTGTGTTTGTCCTGTTGCAGATTCATGCCCCGTGTTGTGCAGCGGTAACGGCATGTATGAGAAAGGAAGGTGCGTGTGCCTGGAAGGGTGGAAGGGGGCAGAGTGCAACGTGGAGGAAGGTCAGTGCATCGATCCCACCTGCTCCAACCACGGCACCTGCATCCAGGGCATCTGCATATGCAGTCCGGCCTACAAGGGTGTTAATTGTGAACAAGGTAAGAACTGTTGTTTACACTGCTAAAAAGAAGAAGAAGAAAGGGCTCCACTTGCACACAAATGACTTTGCTCTTTTTATTAAAAGCAAGAATTGAATTTAACACCACCCTAATCAATATTTTTATATTGAGCAAGGATCAAATGACTTTGTGTGATACTAAAGGGATCCCACAGACTGACGGACCATGAGAGTCTCTGCAGAGCATTTTACCCTCGTCAGTTTTCACTTTTACATCCCCAAATTGCAAATTTCCTTTCCCGGATGAACTTCATACAGCCTTTGTCCTCGCCCACACTGCAGCTGGAGCAGCCAGCTGTTTTTTACCTGCTGCACCACATGGCAGGCAGACAAAGTTAGAAACATGATAGTGAACTTAATTTTGTTGCGTCTCCTGCCCTGACCCCATCGGGCTGCAGCAGAAGGATGCCCCTCGCTGGTTCTTCCTGTTATGAGTTTTTCTTCTCACTGTCACCGAGCTTGCTCGTAGCAGGTCATCAGATTGTTGGGGCTTACTCTATATAATTGCAGAGTCCTTAACTTTCACTATAAAACACCTTGAGGTGACAGTTGTTGTGATTTAGCACAATATAATAATTTTATAAATGGCTCACATCTTTTAAAAATCAACATTTTTGTAACCTGAAGTCAGACCTGAACCGTGAATTAGTGACTATTTTGTTTCCATCTTCATCTTCTGAACATTTTTTCCCAGTTGGGAAAATCACATTGAAAAATACTTATTCTTCTTTTATCCTTTCTTTTCCTTTTATTTCAACAAACCAAAGTAAGAATCTCGTGAAAAGTAAGCAAATGTCAACAATGTTATTGAGAGATCAAACTGTAAAGCACGATGAGAAGTCTAGCTTTAGAACTTCAAAACACGTTCATGCGACTCGGAAAGACCAAGAAAAAAGAAATGTTGTTGAACAGTAACTATTTGTAACACTGGCAAAGTAAATAATGTCTTAGACATTCAAATACTGTCTGAGAGTGTCGCATTCACAAAGAGACAGTCTGAACAAAAGCTCATGGAGACGTAAACACCTTTACTAATGCTACAACTACTGCTCTACTACCACTACTAATAATATTTATGTTAATAGGAAAATTGCAGACATTTAATTCTAAACATGTAGACTAAAGCTTTAGCTGTTTTGACATAATATATTTTAATAAGTGACCTTTTCACTTTTCAAACCAGAAGACAAAACGAGTTTCAAACATTATAGAATTGTGATCACATTTCACTTTTTAATGTTTCACATAATAAACCCACATTCAAGAAAAACCTCCTTCCAAATATCCCAGTTTTGGCTTATCTAAAAGCTGTAGCAGCAGACAGGTCCGATGGTCCTTGTCATACATGCATCTTTCAGGACAGACTGCTCAGGCCTTGCTTTTTCTTGTTCTCCTTCTTTTTTTCTCTTTTGAAACAATCATCACACCTCCAGGCTAAATGTGTTTCCTCATAAAGAGGAATGGGGTGTGTGGCAGTAAACAGATTGAAGATACTCAGCATGCAAATGTCAGTTTAGTATCATTGTGATTCTGTGTATAATATACGCAGAGTGGCAAGAAAGAATTTGGCCTGTGCGCGTTTCATGGAGAGGGTAAGAACATCTATTCAGACTGACTTAAGCAGGAAAAACGGTCACTAAACCTTCGCTATCGGTTAGGCTTTCCTGGAAGCAACAAATGGCATTCTCGGCATAGCAGGAAAAAGACCTGTAAGCAAAGGAAGTAAAAAACAATGACAGTACAATTGATTCGAGTCTCAGGTAGTTAAGGCAGCTTGCAGCTGTGGAGTAAAACAAGCCTTGGGCGTTTGCCACATCCCCTTCATTGTAAAACCATCCAATAAATTACCAAAAAACAAACAAAGCTGCAATATTTGAAAACAATTATGACGTTACACCTGACAGAAACACCGATGGCACAGCTGTCCTAAAGACCTCCGCTGCTGCCTTCTCTGTCTCGGCCTGCAGAGACTGAATCACGTGTTTGACCTTGAGCGGCGGAGCTGAGCTGAGCCGAGTTTAGCCGAACTTTGCTGAGCTTTGGCTCGGTGCTCAGGGCTGTAATTACACACACTAACACAGCATAGCATGGACCACCGTGACACACATACACACACACACAGCCGCACACCAACCAACCCATTTCACCCCTTATCAAAGCCTCGGCTCTAAGTGTCCTATGAAGTGTAATGTTGTGGAACAGATACAGGGATTGTATCTGGGGTGGTTAACTCCTGGATGGGATGCAAAGAACACTGCTTTCATACTCGGTGAACTGATAATTATAACGAGACAGGCTCTCACCGCCCCCCCTCCCCTTCGCTCCTTCCTTTCACCTCTGACTCAGCCGTGCTTTTATATTCCACCCTCCCCTCCGTCCGCAGTGGACTGTGTAGACCCTCAGTGCGGCGGGCACGGCGTGTGCGTGCGTGGGGAGTGTGTGTGCTCGGCGGGCTGGGCGGGAGTGAGCTGCGATGACCCGCTGCCAGCCTGTCAGGAGCAGTGTTCGGGACATGGCACCTATCTCCCAGAGTCAGACACCTGCACCTGCCAGCCCAACTGGACGGGACCAGACTGCTACACCGGTAAGAGCTGAGGATTATTGTTCACACACAGGAAAAAAGAAAACAACCAAAACAAAAAAAAAAAACACTGAAAATTGAAAGTGCACATCGCTAGGTTGCCAGTGTTCTGGTAGCACGCATGGTCTTGCCAGATACTATTTTCTGGGGATTTGATAGACATGAGAGAAATATGGATTGGAGCCACACTGTGAGCTGTGTGTATGCGCCTCTACATGCGTGTGTGTTCGCATGGGCGTTTTGTGCACTCACTCTTCATGCTAGTCGTAAATGAGATTTCCTCTCATGAATCTTTGAGCGCAGCAGCTATGCCGCAACACACATGCTCATGCGCGTACAAATACACAGGCGCTCGGACGCTCGCATTCCCTTTTAGCTAAATGAGGAAAAAATTACAGTGAGAAAAATGTGTTTTTTAAAAGACTTCTTTTCTCATTTTTGCTGCAAGGCCTGTCAGAGATCGCAACTCTGAGGAGCATTCAGCTTGGCATTTAAAAGCTCGCCAACATTTATAACATACCTGAGCACAACATGTTAGTTAGTGAGTGTTTGTTAAATATAAAGCCTTGATAGATCTGAAAGGACTTTTATTCTGCTTGCTTGCAAAGACAGCAATTCTTCACCGATTATGAAGGAAAAAGACTAGAACAAGGCGAGCCAAGCAAGTCTACTGCGGTGTCTAAACATAGGTTACAGCGTGGCGTGGAACACAGTGGGGGGGAAAAAGAAGTTTCCTCGTCCTTGCAGTGTGAGCTGACAGAGAGGAAAATAGCCATTTTAAGGTTGGCTTTTCTCTGGTTCCACCAGACTAACTTAATGCTGGCGTTGGGAAGAATCCTCCTTGCCATGCACACCGATGATTTGCAGGCAATTGGCATTAGCACCTGCTTTCAGGTGTGCGCATGCCTTATTATAGTGATATAGCCCATGATAATGATAGACCGTGGCTGAATATCTGAGATATGAGCGGCCTCCCTCTACCTGCCGGGCTTTTAATCAAAAGGACCCAGCAATTCTATGTCCTGGTCTTGTTGAGGCATAGCTAAGTTAATGTAATTCTAATAGAGAGCCTAAAAAAAACCTCTCCAACTTTAATCCACTTTTTCCTCCCTCTCCATGCTATGTATATTTAAATTGAAATAACTTTTTACTGCAGCTGGATAAGTAGTCTTTGTGTGCCTCCAGCACTTTGCTCTCTTTACTGATGGATGAGGCTTTGCCTCTGCAGAGGGAGAGAGCGAGGGAGAGCTGGATGCAGAGGCGAAGTACAGAGAAAAGGAAATAGACAAAAACAGGAGGAAAGAATTTTAAATGCACGTTGCAAGACAGAGGGGAAGAAAGTTACGGAGAAAAGAGAAAGTTAACAGAGAAGATGATGGAAAATGAAGAAAGAGGAAAAAGAGGTATTAACATACCCAACATATCTGATCAAAATGTCAGAAAAGAATAATAGAGCCGAATTGAAATCCCTGTAGTTTAAATATGCGGTGCAAATACGAATCATTTGGCTGTTATGAGTGTATTCACTCTTCTCCTCCTTCAGGGAGCTCAGCTATTAGAGGTGGGAAGATTGTGTATTGTGAGAACGTAGACTCTTTAGTCTCTGAGGTTATCTTTTTCTATCGCTTGTTATTTTTTTTCTCACCTGTATCCAATGGCTCACCCCCAACTCTTTGAAACTTCTTTCTGCTCTCTGCGTCCCCGGTGCCTCTTTTACATTTTTCCCCTCTTCCACCGCTCAATTCCTCCATCTGTTCCACTCCCTCTCATTCCCTTCCCCTCTCACACTTAAATGCTTTTTTTTCTCACGCATATCTCCACCCACCTGTTCGGCAGAGCTGTGCCCGGTGCCATGTGGCAGCCACGGCGTTTGCTCAGAAGGCCAGTGCCAGTGCGAGGAGGGTTGGATTGGCGCTGCATGCGACCAGAGAGCATGCCATCCTCGCTGCGAAGAGCACGGCCAGTGCCACGATGGGACCTGCGTGTGCCAACCTGGCTGGGAGGGAGAGCACTGTAACATTGGTGAGCGGTGCCCGAGTCCACGTGGGAGTGTTCGGTTGTCTTGTGATATTTTGATGAGTATGATTAATGCGTTTACAAAAAAAAAGAGGTGTTGTTGTTCTTTGGATGTTTTCCATTTACAATCATTCTGGTTTTACGCAATTCTCACTTATTTGTCCCCGCAGTTACTCATGATTTGGATGTCGTAGTGAAAGGTAATTTATTTTTACTCAGGTGATAAATTTCACATTGTGCTCCTCCAGCGTCCTCACAAGCGCTAAAACTCTGTGTCTGTGTGCACGAACACGTGGGACACACCTTTTCAGATGGCTGCCCGGGGTTGTGCAGCGGGCACGGGCGCTGTACCCTGGAGCAGAGCGGCTGGCGTTGCGTCTGCCAGGCTGGATGGAGTGGGCCTGGATGCAGCGTTGTCATGGAAACTGACTGCAGTGATGGAACAGACAACGACGGAGGTGAAATTCTACCATCTTCTGTCATTTTCCATCTCTTTACCTCTTTCTTTTCTGTCTTTCGGGCAGATTGTCCCTTCTACCCTGTTACTTCTTGTTCAGTTTCCATCTAAACAAAAAAAGAAAAAATCAGCCTCATTGTTCCTCCCCTTCATCGCACTGTGCTGTCCCAGTCCTGCTGAGACTCCCAAAGAGTCCTGCTGGACATTATTATACTGAATACGTATTTGTGTGTGTATGCCTCTTCATTTTGTGCGAGTGTGTTTGTCTGCTTTTCCTCTTATCACAGCTAAATGTCTAATATGCATACCACCTGCTAGGATAAAAGGCACTCAGAGAAAATCTCCCAAGTCCAAATACAGCAAACCATGCATAATAGATTTCTGCTTCTTTTTTGCTTATGGTTGTCAGGTGTCTGGTGGCAGGTGAGAGGTTTGTGTCTCAAGGCCATGTAGTTGTGTTTTCCTAGCTGAAGAAAGGAACATTTCAGCGATGGCAGGATCTCTACTCATTACAATCATTCTGTCGCCATATCGGTCCCATCTGCAGCTCTTTTACAAAATAAAAAAGGTATTTGTAAGGATGTAGTGCACTATTGCATTGCTTTCAACTGTGCCCATTCACTTTGAAACTCTATCAAATATCCATTATGGGCATGGCTGTTAAGCCGGGGATGTAATCCATCATTGCAAACAAGGTAGTGTTGCTTTTGTTTGGAGGAAAACCCTTTTTCCCTTTTTTTTGTTTGTGGCTCCAAGTTTTTTGATGAGAGTTGTTTGAATCAGCCACAAGAAACCACAAACACATACATATTTTCTCTGGTTTCTGGTTGCACAGGTTTCTTTTTAGGTAGCTACAAAGCAACTCTTTTTGTCCGTCTCCACATTGTTTACACAAACTGCATGATTGACTCAGCGACACTTCACAAAATCGGCGCTGATGGCTGTTCAGCACATGAATTACAGGTCCTTATTTTGGATTATAACGTCAGAGCCCGGGCAATAAAAAATGTTTTGTAGACTGTAAAATAAGGGCTGAATAGAGGAAAGGAGTCCTAGCAGGACTGTGCCTTGGCAGCGGTGTGGTTATGCTTCGGTATTGTATCGATGGATTATGTCTTTTTGTTCGGTCTATTTTTGTGCGTGCGTGTGTTCATTTGTGGTTTTTAAGGAATAAAGGACTGTTGTAGTGATGAATAGCATTAACTGTTTATTCAGTCACACATTTCTTCATTTAATGGTGCACTTTCACCATTTTTTTGCATAAATGTCAGCATACTGCTTAAGGGAATACTATCCACCCTGGGAAAAATACAGTGTCTTCTGTGGTACTGAGGGAGTTTTGTCAGATCTGTAAGAAATGATGACATCAGCAGTTATCTCAGCTAGCTACAAAGTTAGATAAAACAAAGTATTAGAATTTGAAGACATAAGATTAACTTATCGAGCTAGTCTTGGAGCTTTTCCCGGCTTAAGTTTGAGTAGACACTGAGTGCATTGGCAGGCCATCACGGGGCTATATGTTAAGGTTGAAACAATTAAGTATCTGCTGTTATAAGGAGATCTGACATCCTGGATTCTTGTTGTCTGACACTCTGACAGCCTCGTGTCTGGTTTTCTGGCATGATGCTGGAAGGAGCCAGCCAGCAAACACTCCAGGAAGTCACTGCCCTGCCAAGAAATAGTTTGACCCACAACCTGCTCTGCCATCCCCATAAAACTGCAAACTGTTGTTATGGTTTTTGTTTGGATGAGGAAAAAAAATATGATTTTTAATTTGTAATCTTTAAAGCTGCTTATTGGTTTTAATACCTTTGAACAAAGCCAGCTCGACTGTTTTCCTGATGCATCCACTTTTAGGCTAATCAGTTGCTGGCAGTAAACATATTCTGAACAGAGTGGTATCTAGATTTTCTCATCTGACTCTCAGCGAAAAATTACATTTTCTAAAATTTCAAACTGTTCCTGTAAAACCAGGGTTTTAAACATAAGGCCTGTGGCCCAGAATCAACCCTGCAAAGACTCCAATCCTACACGCTTTGGGAAACGTGAAGGACATTTGGTACCTACTGCGTTCTCATAAGTTTTACAACTACACCAAAATTATTAAATAACAGATGAGCAATCACATGTCAGAAAAGCTTCAGGTTTTTTCTCTATCTGCACATATTTCTGTCAGGTTCACAGTAAAGAAAAAGAAAAATAGGACATTTTCTATTAATTAATTAAAAAAACTTCTGTTTTATACTGTAATTACAGGACAGTCTGGGCAGTGAGCTACCAGAACTTCTCTGCAATTTTACACATTTAATTTTTAAAATTTAAGCCCAAAGAATTGTACTGACAGATTTCTTTAATTTACTACTGCAGAATTACTTAATGCTAACATAGAAAAACTGAGATGCATTATTAATTTGCACTTCATTTTCTCATATTGAGATCTCAGGGATTAAATGTGCAGTTAAACTTCTTTGCACCCACAGAAAAGGGAGTTTCACTGGTCCGTCCCACTTAAGATCAAAGTGGGCTGAATGTATCTCACAATGTAAAATTAGTTTGATTCCTTGATGTAAAAGACACTGTTCCCAGCACTTCACTTCTTTCACCTTGTGTCAGGTTACAGCTTTAGTCCAGAATGGATTCAATTCATTTTTCAGCTGTAAATCTTTTTCTTTGAGATTCTTGTAAATTTATAAAAACAAAAAAACAAAAATATGACATGTACATAAGTACTCACAGCCTTTGCTCCCTACTTCGGTGAAGCACCTTCAGCAGCACCTTATACCCTCTTTTCAAGTCTGATGCCGCAAGCTTGGCATACCTATTTTTGGGCAGTTTCACTCATTCTTCTTTGCAAAACCTCTGAAGCTCCGTCAGTCTGGATGGAGAGCGACACTCTAGGAGGTTCACAGAGCGGTCCCAAAGCTGGTTCTTTGTTATCTTGGCTGTGTACTCCAGAGCACTCTGGAGCAGATTATCATCAGGGATGTCTCTGTATGTTGCTGCATTCATCTTACACTCGACCCTGACTAGACTAACAGTTCCTGCTGCCCCACAGCATAATGCTGCCACCACCGTGCTTCCTATAGGGATGTCATTGTCCATATGAGAAGCGGTGCCTGGGTTCCTCCAGACATGATGTCTTGCATTCAGGTCAAAGAGTTCAATTTTTGTTTTATTAGAGCAGAACATTTTATTTCTCATTGTCTGGGAGTCCTTCAGGTGACTTCTGGTAAACTCCAGGTGGGCTGTCATGAGCCTTTTACTGAGTGGCTTTCCTCTGGCCACTCTATCATGCAGGTCTGATTGTTAAAGTGCTGCAGAAAAGGTTGGCTTACCGTCTCCATAGATCAACACTGACGTTCTGTCAGAGCGACCATTGGATCACTTTCTCAGTCACTCATGTTTGCCGGGCGGCTCTTCAAGAAGTCCTGGTGGTTCCCATTTACAGCTGAGGATTTATGAAGTCCACTGTGCTCATTGGGACTTTCAATGCTGCAGGAGTTTTTCTGTACCTTCCCCAGATCTGTACCTCAATACTGTTCTATCTCAGAGGTCTGTAGACAGTTTCTTGGACTTCATGGCTTGGTTTGAGTTTAGCACAGGTGGACTGAGTGATCGGTCAAGTGGTCAAAACATCTGACAGATGATTGGTGGAAACAAGATGCACCTGAGCTCAATTTTCAATTTAACGGAAAAGACTGTGAATATTTATGCACATGTTAAATTTTAATTTGTTTTTATTTCGAATGAATTTTAAGCTGAAATTTAGCTGTTGCTAAGGTGGCTCTTTTTTCTTTGGGGCAGGTAACCATATCATAATGGCAACGAGTTGTGATGAGGTATCAGCTAGCAGCTAATTAGCACTAAGTAACACACCAAAATATCAAAATTTCCCTGAGCAAACTTCTTGGTCTGTTTGTACAATTATTAGCACATTTTTGTAGAAGGCTGTAAACATGCTTTTTTCTGCTTTGAAGTCGGACATTTTAACAAGGGAGACTATTTGCTTTTGGAGCCAGCCTCAATTTGAGGGACTGCAGATTTTGGCACGTTCGTGTCGCCTTCATTTTCCAGCTCCTTGGGGTGCAGTTTGAGCTCATCCCACATGAGACTAAAAGACAGGATTTGATTTAATATATTTTTTTCTTTGTGAAAGAGTAGGTTAAGTAGAGGTTGATGTAGCGAGCAGATGGAAGCCAGACAAAAAAAAGATGCAGTGAATACACTCTATGGCAGTATATGCAAAATGGGATCACTGTAAACATACTGCATTAAAATACCATATGAATATTAATCTTCAAATGTCTAAATGTCTGTACTGAAGGTGTGAAAGTGTTCACTTTACTTGTGCTTATGCCAAAGAAGTGCTTGCTGACAACGCCTTATGCAGTCGGTTCCTACTTCTCTTACCTTGCAGTACTTCCACCTCTCTGCGCAGCTTTTCAAATGCCATAATTTCCAGCCGCACAATTCAGCCATCGCTCTTAATTGGCAGATATATGGTAGGCTCTCATAGCCTTCTCTCGACGCAATCTTTTTGTCTCTGAAGATAGACAGAGATGGAATGATGCTATCACAAGTAATCAGAGAATAAAGAAGAACGTTGAAGAGAGAGTTTCAATTATTCTGCCTGGATGGGAGCGAAGAAAAAAATGTATTGTGCTTTCTGTTGAAGAAAAAAAATAGAAAAAGAGCATTTATTCTGCACATCTGAGCAGTAAAATCACATGCACATACATATTTATATGTATTACACGTGTTCCAAATTTCCATTTTTACTGCTCGTCTTTGTGCGCAGCGTTTAAGAGCCGCGCCTCCCTAATAAGCTACAAACTTGTCTGTTCCTTGAATGATATTTCAAATTCAATTAATAATGTGCTTTCAAGTTCAGATAGTGAATCTTATGGAATTCAGCCATTGTACTGAGTTATCTTTGCAGGGGGAGGTTATAATAGAATATTGTTGGCCTTTAGCTCCCTGCTCTGTGGTCAGATGCATTTAAATGTCAGCACTGTTTCCTGCCTTTTCAGAAACAGGCTTGAAATAGGAAACACAAATGCCAGCCTGGGTCCTATTACCTGCCGCCCTGCTTTGTATCTGTGGCTCATTGTTTATGCCAGCCTTTTATGGATCACATTCAAATAATGCTGGCGATTCAAGTCTGATTTATAGCAATAGATGCTATAATTGTACTCTGATGGCCCCTAATAAATTTCATTTGATTGATTCTTGTGATAACGATGATGCATGCATAGTTCGTTATTGCAGATCGCATTACTCCGAAAGAGTTTCTCACTGGCCGGCACTGCAAGAATCATTTGATATTATGTCTGAGGTTTTATTGGGTCTGCTTCTAGTCTTTTACTGAAGGTGCATAGAGTACCTTGGCCTTGGTCCTCTTAACCTTATAGCCACTTACAAATATTAAAGCCTGTGTTAATTATGCATTCTAAGGTGAAGTAGTAAATTTAATTCCCCTCTAAACCACCTCTTCTGTGGTGCTTGTTTGAAAATGCGTGCCTTTTGGCTACTGTTGGTCTTCTCTTTTGTACAATTTTAACCTCCTGTGCGTTTCAGATGGCCTGTTGGACTGCGTAGATCCCGATTGCTGCGAGCAGCTGAGCTGTGGCTCTGACCCCCTGTGCCAGGGTTCGGCCGACCCGTTGGCCCTGCTGCAGCAGGGCTCGCTTCCCCTCACCACACCCCATTCTCCCACCAGCACGCACACTCACAGCTTCTACCACCGCATCCGCTTCCTTCTTGGCAAGGCGGCCACACACACTCTCCCTGGAGACGTGCCCTTTGATACCAGGTATGCGCTTATTTACTCTTTGTGCCGTATTCTTATATGAAGTCTAGTATTTGTGTTTGCGCATCCATGCTCTCGAGTTGTTCGACTGCACGGTGCGCTGAAAGACCTCAGGAGTAGACGATGGACAAATACATCCATTTTAATGACTTGCAACGTCCACTGGATGTCATTTGTTTAATGAGGATTTGTGTTTGCATGTGAATGGGGCATGTCGTGTGTTCAAGCGCCTGCACGTACATCTGTTACCCTGAAGATCGGCAGTCACACGACAGCACATTGTTCCTTCTTCCAGGATCCGTGTCAGAATCCAGCTACAGAGTGTTTGTTTGGTACATATTAATGCTTTATGTGTCATTCAGTTACACCAGTCGTAAAGGTGTCACCATAAATTTTTCAGCACCCTCTGACTGCTGTCTAAGAGCGCAAATCCATCTCAGCGACATTATGATGACCTAGAAAATTTGGTTTGGAAAACAAAAGGGGATACCACTCTGAAAAATGGCAAAGTGCTTCTTTTTTCCCCCGACCCGTTGGTTCACTTGTAGAATAAACAAATAAATTAATTATGTGGCATTTTTTTCTGAGGGGAAATCGATTGCAGCTTTCAGGACAGGAGTAACAAACGGGACTACGCAGTCACCCGGAGAACACCTCACCATCCTTCATTTATCCTTTTTTCCGGAGTAACAGATTGACTCCATCGTGAATGTGTGCGTATGTGTGTGCGTGTGCAACGCATGTGTCGGCCTAAATCTGTCTTTATTGCACCGGGGCAGCTGTTAGTCCAGGTTCAAGCAGTGTAATCTATTCTTTACCTGCAAAATCAAGATGAATATTTTCAAATAGGAGAGATGCTTCTCATCATTTAGGGCCTTTTTAAAGAACAACCTGGCCTGCTTTGTTTTTTTCTTGTTTTTTTTGCTGCAGGTAGCGCTGTCACTGTAATATAAAAATGATGTGGAAGTTTTGGTCTCTTTATGACAAGGTGTTGAAAGGTTTTACTGTGGGTGAAGCTATATTTGTGATCCTTGTATCCTGGCAGTCTCTGGCAGACTTTTTTCTGTGCTGAAGAATGGAATTGTACTGAGAAGAATAAACTCAGCTGCTTTTTTATTCGCACAAGGTCATCTGGCAAGTGCATCACAATGTGCCTCTCTCTTCAAACAGTGATTATGTTCTCCATCACTGTAAACCTGTCATCTCTCCCTCTCTTTGTTTATCTCCATCTCTTTTTTCCCTCTCCCTCTCTCTCTCTCGTCTTTGTTTTGGCAGTCGGGTAGCTGTGATCCGAGGTAGCGTTGTGCTGCAGGATGGCTCTCCTCTCGTTGGAGTCAACATCTCTTTTCCGCAGCACCCCGAGTATGGTTACACCATAAGTAGGCAGGATGGAAGGTACAAATTTAGGCACAAGAGACACACAAAAAAGTACATTTCTAATTCCTTTTCTCCTCCAAACTTAGTTGCTCCTCATTTCTCTCCAGCTTTGACCTGGTGACCTTGGGCGCCATGTCTATGACCTTGATGTTCCAGCGTCCACCCTTCCTCCCTCAAACACGAACCATCTGGTCCCCAAATAACAACTTCCTGGTTCTAGATCAGGTGACAATGTCCAGGGAGGAACCTCAAGCTCCTAAATGTGACATCAGGAGCGTCCTGAGTCCCTATCCTCTCGTCCTGCCCTACCCACTTTCCAGATACACCGCAGCGTGTGCAGAGAAGGGGCCAGCCATACCTGAGCTACAGGTAAAATCCCTGTTGACAGACGTAATCACTGTTCTCAAACACAAGCCCACGACTATGGTAGCTATGTGATGGTGCTGATTTCCTGATATCTTTTCTCACCTAATTAACTGAACATAATTGCCTGGATTTAGTCATAAAGAAATAAAAATAGCAAGAGTAACGAAGCATTTAATGTGTGCGTGTGAGTGTCAGCGAGAATGAAGCTTACATAAACTTTGTAACAGCTCAGCAACAAACCAACCTGGCCTCACAGGATTGAGACAAACAGGATTGTGCAAATTTAGCTCGATTCATATTTGCATCATGCAAACACCAAATGAACAAAATGCAAATGTGTGCTACATCCATACACTTCCCCACCACAAAAGCAAATTAAGTACCTGAAAATCAGATGTGAAGGTCATTCAGGTGGTTACATATTTACTTCACAATGTAGCGCCAAAGATTGGGTTTTTTTGTTGTTCACAGAGAGCAGGACCTCACCCTGTGACTTTTTTTTCTCTCTCACTACATTTGTTTTTTGTGGTTTTTTGGTAGATTAAAAGCACAAAGCACATTATTCCTTTTCGCTTTCGCTTGAAAATATCATCATTCAAGGCCACAGATACACTATCTGCACTTTGTATCAACAGAACATCAAAACGAATGAAGGGACATTTTTTATCTTAGCTTAGCTCACACAAGCATCGGGTAAATAAATGGAAAGAACAGCACTGACAGTTCGTACATGTAACATGTTCATTGACTATAGTGAACACAGGCAGCTGGTTAAATGAAAAACTTTATGAATAGAGTAATACAGTATATACTGGATATACAGTGCTGTGCAAAAGTCTTGGGTCACCCCTCATTTATCTATATCTGACTAGGAAAACTGGAAATGCATCCAGCAACTTACTGAAACATGTGCAAGCATACTTGTCGGTGTATGTTTGTATTATCTTTGACGTTTGCTTCCAAGAAGCCAGGCTATCAAGAAGTCATTCGTACAGAAAGGGTAAAGAATGCTGAAATACACAAGAACTGGACTAAAGATTGGCCTACAGGCTCTACCATGGTGGCTGTGGGGCTGCATTTTAGCCAGTGGTGTTGGAGATATTTAAAAATTGATGGGATTATCAACAGAAAACAACCTTCAGATTTTTATTCGCCGTGGAATACCCTATAGAAGATGTCTGAGCTTCATTTTTCAGCACGAGAACAATCCCGAACACACTAGCAGTGCAGTAAAAGCATATCTAGGTAGAAAACACCTACATAATGGAACACTATCCATCATGGATTGGCCTCCCCAGAGCCCAGATAACAATATTATTGACACAGTGTGGGATCACCTTGACAGAGAACAGCTCAAAAGTCAGCCAGCATCCAAAGATGAATGTTTTTTGTTTGTTTATTAAGTCACTGACCTATAAAACACCGAGGCACAGACAGCACAACCAATTTTAAATGGTAGCTTTTAGTCCTTTGTTACTGTCATGTGAAAACTGATGGAATTATGAACGCGGAAAAGTGCCATCAGATTTTTATCCACCATCTGGCAAGCATCAGCTGGTATGGATCAACATGACAGTGATGCCAAACACACTTCCAGTGCAGTAAAACCATATTCGGATGGAAAAACACAACATCAGTCATGGATTGGCCTCCCCTGGGCCCAGATCTCAGTATTATTGACACAGTGTAGGATCGTCTTGACAGAGAACAGAACAAAAGGCAGCAACATCCAGAGAAGAGCCTTAAATGTCCTTCAAGAAGCCTGGAGAAGAAATGACAAGAAAGCATCAGTTTTTGCCTTATATACTATATTTAATATATTTAATGCATATAATTGCATGTTTCAATAAATCACTGCACTTACTTCCCATTTTCCATCCATGACTCAAGACTTTAATACTTTTTCTATTTTCTACAGATATCATTGTGGTGCAGACTTCATTTCATGTATTAAAAAAGATAAGAAAACATTGACACGTACTCTGTGTACTTACTGCACCCTACTGTTGCAGCTATTTTCTCCTGTACCTGCCAATAACACTTATTACTCTAGCTCATTATACAAATACAAAGTCATGATAAAACACCTTTCTTTCCTATATTACTCTGTCACTCTCTTTCATTTCTCATTTATGCTCTCACCATCACCTGTATTTCTCACTCTGCTCCTCTGCTTATTCTCCCCAGGCAGTGCAGGAAGACGTTTCAATCCCAGGAGCCTTTGTGAAGCTGAGCTACTTGAGCACTCGTGCTGCTGGCTACCTCTCTCTCCTGCGAATCCTCCTCACTCCTCCCTCCCCATCATCCCCTGTCTCCCCGCTGGGCGGTCTGTCCAAGGTTCATGTCCGCGCCTCAGTCCAAGGGAGGTTATACCAGCGGTGGTATCCTGCCGGGCCTGGTCTGGTCCACAGGCTGGTCTGGAACAAGACGGATGTTTATGGTCAGGAGGTCTGGGGTCTCACTTATGCAACTGGTAGGTAAAATATGAAATTATTCATTAATGTCTTTTTTCTTTTTTCACATTTGGCAACAAACATTTAACTTTCATGCCAAATACGACAAAAGAAAGAAGGTAAGATACCTTGTGGATCAAGAAAAGGACTACAAACTATTGATTTGTTCTTAGCCATGGGAGAGTCTGTTAAAAGCACAGGTAAAAATCCAACTCATCCCAGATAAATTAAAACCAGCAGCAGTCCTGAGTGCCATGCGAAAGGCGGCTACCTGGGGAAACATAATAACAAAATGAATGATAATATTATGATAGGCCTCCTGCATAGTAAACATAATGATGCCATCAGTCCATAATAATTTTCGCATTCAAAAATAATCATAATAATCTGTGTGTGTGTGTGTGTGTGTGTGTGTGTGTGTGTGTGTGTGTGTGTGTGTGTGTGTGTGTGTGTGAAAGAGCAAGAGCAGGAGATTAAAAAAGGCCTATTTTTCAGCCCATTAAAGTTTTAAGTGTTGAGTTTGATCTCCTATGATTGGGTTTGGTGAACATATTGAAATGAATGTTTCAGCACTTTACTTATTTGCGCTCTTTCATAGCTTCATGATACGATCATACCATCTCATGTTCATAAGGCAGGGCCAGACTATTTTTGTTTAGTGTATTTTTGTTTCCACTAAACATTAAATGCACTAATAAATAGCGGGGTTAATGCAGAAGCCTTGAGAGCTTGAATAAAAGGACCTCTGGATTGGAGAAACCAGCCTCCATAAATGCATGGCACAATGGCACAACACTGAGCTGTAAATGTGCACCTAAAAGACAAATGACGCTCTGTCAAGGATGATGATGCTCACATTTTGGACAGGGAAGACGGATGGTTTGAGAGAGGACTGAAGGAGGTCATCTATGTGAACAACAGTCATTGAACAGAGGGGATGCTCTACAACACCAAAAGACCCTGCAATAACGGGAAAAAAACCCCAAACAATCAGATGATCCCCTATGAGGGAGCACTTGGCGTCAGTGAGAAGGAAAATCTGAGTTTTAACAACTTTAAATCTCAGCAGAACCAAGATCAGGGAGGGGCAGGCATCTGCCGCAAGGGGTTGGGGATGAGGGGAGGGAAACAGGACAATAGACACACTGTGGAAGACAGCAGAGATGAATAATAACCAGTGATTGGATGCAGTGTGTGTATTAACTCATAAAGAATGAAAAAAGATGATTGAAGAAGAAACACACATGATCAGTAGTAGGTCAACGACTCCCAGGACCCCCTCCAAAGGGAACAACCCCCACTAGGGGGTAAATGGATGGGACTCTCCACCTTTGATTTTAGAACTGAAGATGCCTGTTGGATCAGAGTCTTCACAAACTTGAAGAAGTCCAGTGGGCTTCTCCTTTTTTTCCAGCTCTGAAGACGATCACGACCTTGATGAATGCGAGCCTACACAGATGGTTAATCCAGTTTGTGGTTTGGGAGTTGCTTTTTATTACTTTTTATTAATAAAAGTATTGGCAGGTTAACTTTTCCCATCCACTTTATATTTCTAGCCACACTTTAACACTGCGCTTTATTCTGTCTACCTTGGAGCTTTATCTGAAACACACAGTCACACACCGATGGGTGCTTTTGGGATATTTTTGGTTTTAGCATTTTGTCGAAGGACACTTTAGCATGCAGACCTTCCACTTACCTTCCAAGCCCTAGCCGCAAAGTAATTACAAATAAGACTGTTTTTCACCAAGAAAAGAAAATGTAGCGGAACACAACTTCTCCAAAAAAAACCCCACAGTTTGTTGCTTGGTTTTACAGCTTTGTTTAAGCTAAACCGCATTAATTAGTGAGCTTTGGAGGCATATTTTAGGTGAGCTTTGTGAACATTGGACGGAGCCAGGGTAGCTCTTTCCCCTTGTGTTCCCCTCGCTCCAGTTAATTCACAGATATGAGAGAGCTATCAATCTTTTTTCGTCCAACTCTGGACAAGGAAACAAACAAGCCTGCCCACAGAGATATTTAACTATTTCTACAAGCAAAGCTCCTGTTAGCTTAGTATAAATCAAATCTGAGGGACTCAGAGAAATGTTGTTTTTCCTCTTTCAGACAGGATGCAGGCCAGATGAATAAAACCCTTTGAAAGACAGAAAAACAGATTTTCTTTTATCATCGTCCCTGTTAACTCTTAGGTCTGCGAGGGAGCGTTTCAGCACTGCGGTTTGCACAAAAGCCTGATTGGAAGTCATTGTGTAAATGATTGACCATTCAGTGGGTAATCACCCAACTGTTAATAGACAATGTCCTGCTACGAAATTACAGATGGGAGATTTCAGTGTTTGATTTAAACTTTTTAACAGTAGTTCAACAACTGCCGATTCACTGCAGCACACCAAAGGGTTTCCTTTAAGTGAAATATCATTATGAAATTAAGAACATATCGTGAATGCGGTGAGAAGGGAAACATTTTCTTCTTTTTCCCTGTCCTGTCTGACAGCGTAGCAATCGGAATTGTTGACTGAAAGGCAAAACAATGCCAAAATTTATTAGAATTACTTATTTATTTTGGGTTATTACAAGCAAAGAAAGTGGAGTTGGGGAGAAAGTTAAGAGAAGAAGAGGAAGCGAGAGAGAGAAACGCTGAGAATGTGCTTCAACACCTGTTGCGGTAAAGAAAACAGCAGAGAAACCACAGCAACTAACAACATATGCATAAATAACAGTGTTACTGAACAGCACTTAGCTTGACTCTGTCCAAGGTCCCTGAAACCTGAAATGGTGCTGACAGCAAAGAAGAGTAGAGATGTAAGGAGAGGGAGGAGCAGAAAGACGGAAGGCTACAAATACTCTGCAGAGATATTGTCAGCTATGACAGGGAGATAGCCCCTTTGGACGCGTTTGACGGCGCTGGTTCTGTGGGATAAAATAAAAAAAAAAAGTAAAAAGCACATAAATACAAATCTGTGTGCTGAAGGTTTTCATTACCGCGGCCTTCTGTCTCCTTTTCCCCAGTGTCTTCTCTCACCTGTGTGAAAAACAGATTTACAGGATGTGAAACTGTTACTGTTATTGCTCTCTAGGTTCATTATGGCAAAAAACAGCCCTTTGTAAGATGCCATCGAGGCTTAAACCATTGAACTTTCTGCTATCTATGTCCGTGGCTTCCTCTTTGTGGAAGAGTGTGCGTAAACAGTGCAGCAGCAAGATAGAGCTTTCCATAAGCACTGAGATCAGGCTTACCAGACTCTTTGTCCACCAGAGTGTAGGGCCTCATACCAAGATTGCATCTTTCTGTCCCCAGGCCTTCTTTTCCCCTCGTGATCCCTCCCCCTCCTCTTATCTGTTCGAGCGGCATTTCATCTGCTCCGGCTCTCTCGTGATCTTTCACCTCTTCACGGCTCACATGATCCCTGTTTTTATTTACCCTGCTTTGCTAAACCACTTCACCCTTCTTGCCCCCTTTCCCTCGCCTCCCTCTTCCTCTACCCAGGCGGGTGATTTCCGGTGTTTCCTGTCCTGTCCTGATCTCCCTTTCGCTTTTCTTCCCTCCTTGTTATTTCCTCCATTCCCTGTGATCTCCCCGGTTACCTCGCTCCTGTTTTCCTCTGCCCTTCATTGTTTTTGTCTTCTCTACCCATGTTCTCCCCTGATCCTCCCCTCTCTATAGTTCCTCGTGCTATGTTGGTGCAAAGACACAGACGAGCGTGGTCTCTCGCGCACACACACGCATCCTGCGGTACGTCTGTGCATGCACACACACCCATGTGCCACAGAGAGCAAGAGAAAGGGAGATCATGCTCTGTTTGCTGGGGTGAACACATTGCCTGAGGCTTCGGCAGTGGGGAATGAAAGCTTTCACCTGTGAGATATTGAGTGTGCATTTATGGACTATAGTGTGCATCTGTATTGTTTGCGAGCGAGTGTGTGTTCTCGCGCTGAGGCTTGTATCGTTTCTTGTAATATAGCTAGAGTAATATTCGGTTGTGAAGCAGTTCTCCAAACACTGACACTTTCCCTTTGAGATTGTTTCGCCTGTTTTGTCCTGGAAAAAGCTTTGTTCTTCATATTAAGTCAGTTTTATTGTAGGTTTGGTTTTTTTTAAAAGAAAACAGAAAAATGTTCCTATTTACAGAAATGTATTCATGGCAACTTTTAATACATTTTACAAAGGCTGGAATGCTTTCCAGGTTGTCAAACAGGCTTTTGAAGAGGAAATGCAATGTACCTTCAAGGGTCAAAACACGCACAATGCAAATATGTGTGCTTTGGGGTTTTTAAGAAAGGTTTTTATTGTAAAGAATATATGTAGCTTTGCATTTTCCGATCCCTCTCACTTCTCTTTCTGTCCTTTAAGCCTGACCTTAAACCTAAGATTAAAAGCCTAACTGAGCTTAAGGCAGATAAAATTGAAACAAATGGACTTTTTGGATGAAACCAAAGCGAGAGTTCCTAGGCTCTAAGAACTTTTGTCCAGCACTATAAGGTTTCTTTTTCTCTTCCATGATCTCCAGTGCCCCAAATTACAGATTATTTTCTCTCCCCAATCACCATATCGATCGTTCCCTCCCACTCTGAGATTTAAGTCGGCCCCGTGTGTCTGCTGAGAGTTTCTCTCCGTGTTACTGGGAATCTCCTGAGTTTCTGCATAATGCGAGCGCCCCTACTTATGTATTCCGGAATCTCATCTGATCTTTATGCTGACTTTGCCGCATGGTTTCCCTTGAGCGCCCGTCAGTTCACAGGCATGTTGGTCTACAGTGAAGTTAAAAGAGATCAGTGCCAACAGTGATTGACAGCGACAACTGTTCTTCTCCAGCTTTTGTGTTGATGTGTCAACCTAACCTTACTCTACAGTATATCATTATATTCATTTAAGAACACTGTATCATCTTAAAATGTGCTCTGTACTGAACCCGTGCAGCTTTAAAGCATCTTGTGGTTAAGTAAGGAAGATGGAACGGCCTTTTCTTTCGTGTTTGCTTGGCTACAGCAGCGAGGTACCTAATACAGTATTGCCCATCAGAGCAGTTTAACACTGAATATGATATTCTTGTATGATTTACCATAATCATACTGATAATAGGGGATTATCAACTAATGCTAGCACTGGCTATCAGGCACGTCCATAATTCAATGTGATTTTAATTTGACTGCTTATTTTGGCTAATATAATAAAGGTGTGCTAATACATCTGTGCTGCCTCCATGCAACGTCATGAAATGTGTAAGACAACCAAACACTAAACAAAATTAAAAGGAATCCAACTGCCATCTAGATAGTTACCTAAAGTGTAATAGAGTGGCATTTATGTAATGCTGTTTCAGTCTTACTCACCTCTCAAGCTAAATTTAACCATGCATTCATACAGCACTATACACTTCTCATATCCATGACCAATTTAGAATCACCAGTTAGCCAAACATGCTAATGTTTGGACTGTGGGAGGAAGCCAGAGCGCTCAGATGAAACACATGCAGGCATAATGGTTAGCCCACATTTACCTCAGTTACCTAGCAGACCTTCTCTGCATGTATAGGCCCAAGAGATCACTCCGATCCTCTAACCAACTGCCCTTAGTGCAACAAAGGCCCCGACGAAAGACTACAGGGCACCGAGCTTTTGCAATTGCCGCACGCAAAGTCTGGAATAATCTTCCTGTCGACGTTCGCATTTCAGATTCCATTCAATCGTTTAACTCATGCTTAAAAACTCACCTGTTCCATCTAGTTTTTGAAGCAAATCAGTTTGGACTTCCATCTGGTCTGCATTTGTGCTATGTAACTGTAAATATCACTGTAACTGTAACTATAATTGTTTTTAATTCTTTTTAACTGTTTTTGTTGCCTTTTGTTGTAATCTGCTTTGCTGCCTTGTGTGAAGCACTTTGATGGACACTGTCCTTTTTAAATGTGCTTTAGAAGTAAAATATTGATTGATTGACAGTCTCACAGAAACAAGGTTCCAAATTAGAGCCCAGGCTGTGGGGTTTGCATGTTCTCTCTGCACATGTGTGGATTTATTCAGAGTACTTTGGCATGCATGTTAGGTTAATTGGTGTTTCTTAATTGACACTGTACTCTGTGTCAGACTCAAAGCGTGCTACATAATGCTACAGTCACACTACGTAAAACAGTGCTGCATCCAAAACTGCAAGAAGATAGAGTCGGTCTGCCATCAGTCTGGGTCACGTTGGCAATAACATATGATTAGTTTGTCATATTAGTGAAACTAATTGCGATAAATCAGGGAAAATCACAAACCTCTTGCCATCTGCATCAGAGGTATAGAGCTAAACTTGTCTGCCAGCGGTAGAGTGGCCACTTGGAAAGACTAGGATATTTTTCATTGGGTCCTTCTGGCCGGACACAGCAAAATCCACACATAAGGCATGACTCTCTGAGCCACAGACTCAGCCAGGCTTACAAAAAAGGGAAAACTTACAATTTACACATGTATAAACATACAAAAACACACAGCTTGGTCATTTTGTAATGACCAACGTTTTACAAAGGGCAGTGCAAATTTGTGGCTTAAAAATCACAGTGTAAGCACAGGTTTTACACACGTTTCTCTCTTAAAACATTTTGGCAGTTCAGATAAATGAGAGGAGGCTGACGGAGAATCGATATGTTTACGATATATGAGGATGAACTCTTTCTGACAGACATTGCTGGGGACCTGAGGACTGAAACACAAGTAGAGTCCAGGATTAATCCAGAGAAAACTATTGCTCCATAGAAACCGGAAATCCGTGTGTAACAACTGATATGCACCATGTGCAGAAGGACAAAAAAACATTATTTCCCATCTGATCCCGAGCTGTCTGTGTGAAGATACTGTTACTAAGCCAGGTGTGTAAATGTGCACATCCTTCTGGGTGTTTCTGCAGGCTGTGTGAAACTGTAGGTCCTTATTAAAGTCAGTGTTATGTACAGGCATGTGGTATTATATACCAGTAGATTATATGACATTATGTGATGAAGGGAAGTTAAAGAAAGAAACCTGAGAGTTGGTCTGGTTGCGCACTGCTGAGATGCAGACATGCAGAGAGTTGTTTTCATTGTGTACTGATCATGGTGTAGAAATGCAGCTAAAAGCCTGGAAGCATAATAAAGTATTTTGATTCTGATTGTGCAATACAAAGATGTATGTTTGTATGCATCTTGCATTAGAATTGTACTTCCTCCTCCTCCAGCTTCAGTAATTATTGCCGAGCAGGAATATGTGGGGCTCGGTTGTAAACACTCAGAGTGAGGACTGAGTAAAGAGTGCCAGGACAGTGCCAAAGTTTTGGCGCTGCACTCAGAGGTTTGAGCCATCCACTCCACACTCCTTCTGATAACATCTCCCCCTCTAATTCCAAGTAAATGAGCACTCCTCTCAGCAAGGTGCAAAGTAAGACATGTGCAGCTTGCAGTAAATTGCCTGCCACAAGTCTTAATAACTCACATTTGTGTGATTTATTATGTTGTGTCCTCACTCGGAGAAATAAATGGTGGAGCAAAAGAACTTCACTGATTACGTGCTGGCAATCTGCATTTACAGATTGAACGGTGAGTATTTGCAAACATTCTGCAATCTGTCTGAGAGCGACTGCAGTCAGCACGGTAGTCGCAAGGATTTTGTCGTCCTATTTTTGCTGTAGTGTGAGCCATGCTTAAATAAAAGTGCACAATAAATTGATTATGAGAGAACCATTTTACAGTTTCTAATTCAGCAACCGCATATTTCTGCAAATACTTTTACAGGTGGTCTTGTTTATCATAGGACATCGTACAGCTAGGAGCTATTTTCAGAGTGACTATAGGCATACAGCGACTGGAATGTGTGAGAGAAAAGGCAGCAGAAAGTTGCCATTAAAATTGTAATAAAGCACTTGCTTAATTAGGTAAATGTATTGCTTGTGTGTTTATTTTTTCCACCTCTAATGACTCATGTGCATGGGCTTCTTTCCTTCGGTGTGTGCAAGCGCGCCTGATTACACACTGCAGAATGACATGTATGTAAGTATGTTTGCGTGTTTACTTTGAAAGCTCCTGCAGCTTGGTCACCTGCTGCCTTTAAACATATTCCAAGTGGCAAATTAGTGCCGAAACATATTTAATCCTGCCAAGCCAAAAAAGAAAAAGAAAATCTGTTGATAGTTGTTAGTTGTAGTGGGAAGCTGCACAGCGTATCATTACAACTAAGAGGCCAAGCAGCTAATTCTAGGGCTCCTTCATGAAGCCGTACTCCTCCTGATTACGCCCCCACTCCTCACTGATGTCTCTCAAACACAAACACTGATGAGGTCTCCCTACAGGCCTTTTATCTATCTCACCACTCGATACAATATAGCTTTGAAAAAGATATGGGGAAACTTGTGTGTGCTTTGCCTTGTTTTCAGGCTTTGTTCAGATACAAGCGCGTGCAGTCATTCTGCGCCACGTGGTGCAGCGTTAAGCACAGCCGGTCTGCAGCACATAGGAATTGCACGCTACTGCTTAATGTTAAGCTCTCGATGTGTGCACGTGTTTCTGTTCCAGTGGCAGTCGGCTATGAGTATGAAGTGTGTCCCGGTGTTATCCACTGGGAAAGAAGGACCGCTCTGATGCAGGGATTTGAACTGGTCCCCTCTGACCTTGGAGGATGGTCTCTGGACAAACACCATGCCCTTAACATTCACAGCGGTGAGTTTATCCGCTTGTTTTTGGTGCTTGGAGGCTGGCTGCGTTTTTAAAGCCACAAAATGAATTGGAGAAACTTGAATTCAATTCCAATTAGTTTTTTCTTTTATGAAAGAAAAAAAAAGTATGTTTTTTGCTTTCTTTCTTTGACATTGAAATAAATAAGAACCACTGTGTGACTTCTTTTAAGTTATGTGTTGATAGTCTGGACAGACTACATGAAATGATACAGAGCTTAGAAGTCCAAGATGTCCTTGAAGTAAGGACATCAAAACGCTGTAGTGTGGGTGACTCAGCTACAATGTGCCGTTATTGCCATTAAAGCTGCTCAGAAAGTGGTTTGAGATGTATCAAATTTGCATTTTCTCACACAAAAAAACTTAATTTGTTACTTGTTAAGAGTTAGGCACACAGAAGATGGTCCAGATTTAAATGAGTCCAAAAAGTCAGACTGACAAAATTTTGGTCGGTGCAACAGAGTGAAAAACATCGCCCTGTCCCAAAACTCTTTTACTCCCTTAAATCTGGCGTGATGAGTTCAAAGGAAAACAAAAAAGACAGACCCCAAGTCTGACACGTGAAAGAACTGAAACTATTCCTACTTGTCATTGCATTCATAAATGATTTCAGCAACATTAGCATGCACCCGCTGATGGGAAGTACACTTAAAGGGCCTTTCATGTCACCTTTGCATTCCTCTCTCCCCAGGAATCCTTCACAAAGGGAATGGAGAAAACGTCTTCCTGTCCCAGCAGCCCCCTGTTATCAGCACCGTGATGGGGAACGGCTTCTATCGGAGCGTCCCGTGCGGCCCGAGCTGCAGCGGCGCGGCTCGGGACATGATGCTGTTTGCCCCCGTGGCGCTGGCTAGCGGCCCCGACGGCTCTCTCTACGTGGGGGACTTTAACTTCATTCGCAGGGTCCACCCAGACGGATACACCAGAACCATACTGGAACTCAAGTGAGAGCAATGATCTTGTTGGGTGTGCTCGTGATAAGACCGCTTTTGGTAGGGATCTCTCGCAGTAGGAAGCAGTGGGATTTGGCGCATCGGATTCACTCGAACACAATGTGAAATAAAAAATTAGCTCAGCTGATACGGGTTAGCATGGCATTAGCTGCGGATGGGATCTGCAGCTGCAATCTATTTGATCTCGGTGGAATTCTTTCTGAAGTTCGTCTTCATGCAGAAGGAGGAGCGTGTGAGGTTTAGAGATCACAGACTCTAATCTACCTCTTTAGGATGCGAGAGAAGCTGAAAGTCTCTGCTGAGAGACAAAGATACGTTTTTTTCCGTCTTCTTCTTTTTTTTTCCTCTGGATTATGACGATGATATCTCCTACTGTGCTGCAGGCATTACATTCTCTCATTTCTGTATTTTTTCAAGCGTTGACTCTCAATGGGATTGCACAGTCATTTGTCCTGTAGAGTGTTCTCCTTATGTATCTTTACTCTCATTCACTGTTTTTATTCTATGGCTGACTAATATTTCTGGTTCAGGCAGAGGTTTCCTCTGGGATGAAACACCCCCAACCCGCCAAAAACGGCTTCTTGTTTAGGTTAATATTAAATGTGAAACAATACAACTGTCTAAAGCAACCCCAATTTCACTTTATGGGGAGAAAATTTAGCAGCCTATGAAATTCTGAGAGCCTCTCGTTAGCCTCATAAATAATTGTTTTTACTTTCTCTTCTCTCCCCTTTTGAAACGCTCCTTTATGGCTTGTTATCAGGAACCGGGATACCAGACACAGGTGAGAAGTGGTGATTTACACCTCCTTTATATACCTGCACAAATGTGTGTCGAGGGAATAGACAGTTGCAAAACGCCCCGCAGAGCTTTAACTTTGTTTGTTTGCCTCCTTTTAAATTGCATTGACCCACCTTCACCTGGAACACGCGTGCAGGTTCTGTACACACGCTACGAGCACAGTTAGATCTATGAATGTCTCATTTAAATTTCACTTGGTGATATTAAAATTTGTACGCTGGACCGCAGCCAAAATGTCAAGGATTTCATTTTTTTAGAGGATTACTGAAAGTCTGTTTGGTGGATGCCTCGGTTCATTCATTTCCCGAGCCAGACCAAAAGGCCCGAGGCCGGGAGTGGCCTCAACGTCGCCCCGGTCTCAAGCCTCTGTGATGCTGTGAGCACTGTACGCTGTTTGACAGAAGATTAGACAGATGTTATAGAGTTTCTGTGTGTGCACGTGTGTTGTGATGTTTGCATCTGTGCGTGCACCACTATCGTGGGTCGTATCGAGCCGATTGTGTGTGTATGCGTGTTTGTGCTTGTGGGTGTTTGTGGAAGAGCAAGAGAGGGTTCATCCAATTTCAAAAACCCTGACTATTTTTCACGATACTGTGCCAAAATCTGAAACCGTGCAGAACTGATAATATGATTGTGATGTACTTTGTGGGTGGGTAGGAACAAATGTCAAAAATATATATAATATATAAATATATAAATATGCAAACCGTTGGTAATTTTCTACTGTAAAGCCATGTAGCCAGTGCTTCTCATCTGGAGCCGCTTTACCTCAGTGGGGTACTTCTGCGTTTGGCATGTGGAGAGATTGTTGAGTAGCTCCAGAAATTTAAATAAAAAGAAACAGGAGAAGCAGACAAGCTGGCACAAGTGAGGTAGAGAAGGAAAGGAGGCAGTGGAGGTGTGTTGCCTTGAGATCGGCCAATCTGCTGGGATTGTAGCTGAACTCAACTTTGTGACCCACCTGAATTTACAGTATGCTCTGTTAAGCTGAAATAGATGCCAAAAAATGAATAAATAGCTGTCTTTGTTAGGCAGTTAGCCATAAGTTGCTGAATTTCAGACTGCTTAAAAATAATAGCTGAAGAAGAAAGCTTAATGTGTAATGGATAAACGGTCTTAGATGCATAAAGTACTTGGGCTATTGTTATAGCATAAATGCAGATTAAAAAAAAAAAATCAGCTAAAACTTTGCTTGAAAGAATCCACTAATATATATTATTAACAGAAAATTTGATCCCAGCCTGAAATAAATTCAAATGAACGCATTTACAAGACCATGGGTTGTGTTAGTGAAGGAGTATTTGAGTAAATCTGGCTAGCGTGTCAGATAAAACGCAATAACGAGATTTGGAGCCTATACTGCACGAGCTGGATTCTTCTGAAGGCACTTCGGGTGGTGTTTCCTTACCCTGGAGGCTTCTCTTTTAGCTTCTGCTCCCTTCTTTTCCTCCACAGCAGCTTTTAACTGTTAGCAGCATGTTAGAGTTTCTCCTTTATTCTGTGCTATTGTTCTCCTAAGTCAAATACATTAATTATTCATCCATATTCAGCTTTCAAAGCTTTTCACTATGCATTCTTCCCAGCAAAGTGCCGATCAGCCAAAAGGGCTTCAAAACAAGGTGCTCTCTGAGGGGAAGACGGTATGGGAAGTGCTCAACATGAAACCACCGTCTATTCTTTCCCCCCCCTTTAAGAGTCGGAGCGAGGAGTTAAGCAAATAGGGGAGGAAGTCCTCGACAGTATTATCTGAGAGCCCAGACGGTCGATTTAGGAACAGCTAGATCACTGTGTCTATCAACTCTGATCACTGTTTTGTTATTGCATGCGGTGGGAATGAGCAAGGCTGGAGTGGGATTGTTTGTGCTCCGGTTGTTATTGTTGTTTATTTTCCTTCCACCGGAGGAAAGCATTTGGAGCTATGAGCATCTAATTGAGGAAAAGATAGGTGAAGCGATTTGTAATCAGTTATATACAGCACGCGATGCTCACGCTAGCTTCAAGAGGCCCGGCAAATACGATGCACCGTACGCCGAGCAGTGGCACATTTTGAAACTCGGTGAATATAACTCTCTTAGGATCGAGTTTAAATTATGTATGTGCAGTTCAGCGCTGAGCTCTGTAAACAGTTATGCACTTAATGGACTAGATGACTGACAGCAAGCCTGCCGATGTTGCTGTTTTTGTTTTTTTCTCTCTTCTGGGCATTGAGAAGGTTCAGTAAGGAAGTATTCTTCTTTAAAAGAAAAGGATATTTAGGGTACAAAGGCTGTCCAAAGCAAACTGGAAATCATAAGGACACGCTGGCTACAAAAAAAAGAAGAAATGAAAAGGGTTGCGAGCGTGACAACAGAAATATTTGTTTTGACATTGTATTTTTCCTCGCAGGACATTTTTTTTTATTGAATAGCTGCCGAAGAAAGGAGGAAAAAAGAAACCTTTAACAGGGTGTCTTCAAGTTTAATTGGCAGGAAGCCTTTGACCAGACCCAGCTGACACTGGATTTCACGCTACAAAAGTAATTGCCTGGAACTCAGTTAGTTACAGTGTTCAAAGTGCAAAATTTAAATTCCCTCTCACTTTTATGATCACTGTGTTCAAGTCTTAATAATAATGCAACACAATACAACACAATAGCATGACAGTATCAAAGGTTTTATGTAATTAATGAACTGTGGACTATATGTGGAGAAACAAGTCACATCTTGCCTGCACAGCTGCTTGCCCACACTGTTGGAATTCATCCGACACAAAGGACAGTATGCAGCTTGCAGGAAGCGTAAGGGCGAATAAAGTCAGTTGTGCAAATGTTTGGCTCAGGCTTTGAGGAGAAAAGGACAATTTCTTATAAGCAGTAGGACATGCACATGACGCCGCACGGAGGTATTTCTTCCTGTGCAACATGCTGTCTATTTGAGACTCTCAGTGAATCAGTTCCAAGGCTTTTGTCCACTTTTCATCAAGCAACAATAACAACGGGCAGTTGTTTGTCCCCATGACTCATTCAGCTGAGGTCAGATTTACCTGGGTTTAATTTTGGACCTTTGTTGCACTCCTTGTTATTGTTCCCTCTTATTTTCTGTTGGGTCAGAGCTTTTTTTTGATGCCGTACTGCGGTCCATTGAAAGGCCATGAGGTTTACAGAAAAGATGATCCTGTATATACTTCTAAAAAAATGAAAGAGGACCGCTTTTTGATCAGAGTAACTTTAAGTTGATTAGGCTTCTGGGATATTGATCTGGTCGGTTTAGTAGCAGAGGGGGTTGTTAATCAGTTTCAGCTGCTGTGGTTGATGAAATTAACAACAGGTGCACTAGAGGAGCAACAAGGAGACAACCCCCAAAACAGGAATGGTTTTATACATGTTTCCCATGTCAGTACTCATCTGACGGGTTTTTCTCTAGTTTTGCATTTGAATAGTGTCTGTGTCACCACTGGTAGCATGAGGTGATACCTGGACACTACAGATGTTGCGCAGGTAGTCCAACTCCAGCAGGATGGCACAAAGGTTTGCTGTGTCTCCCTTCAGGGCCGTAGAAGGTCTTTTACCCACTGGTTTTCCCAAGTAGGAACAGGATGAGCACCCCCAGAGCTACAAACTCACCTCCAGTGAGCGAGTCTGGCTAAACAATCAGAAAAAGACTTCATGAGGGTGAAATGAGGGACCAACGCCCTCTAGTGGGTCCTGTGCTTACTGGTTGGCACTGTGGAGCTCGATTGAAATTTGCCATAGAATACCAGAATTGGCAGGTCCACCACTGGTGCTCTGTGCTGTCCCCAGGTTCACCCTGAGTGTGTGTGACAGACATGAAAGGGTCTGGAGAAGCAGTGGAGACATTATGCTGCCTATAACATAGTTTAGCATGATGGTGGGGGGGTCAGTGATGGTCTGGGGAGGCATATCCATGCAGAGACACACAGACTTCTGCAGGCTAGTCAGTGATGCCATTAGCTATCAGGAAGAACTCCTTTGACTTATTCTACACTGGTTCAGTGGGTCCTGGCTTCTTCCTGGTGCACAATGATGGCTGGTCTCATGTGGTGAGAGTATGCAGGCCGTTCCTGGAGGATGAAGGAATTGACTACCCCCATGCTCGCGTGACCTAAATCTAATAGAACACCTCTGTTTCAGTCCATCTGAAGCAGCCAGGAGCTTGGTGATGCCCTGGTCCAGATCTTGGAGGAGATCCCCCCTGACACGATCCATCGTCTCATTAAGAGCATGTCTCTGTGTTGTCAGGCTTGAATTACAAGCACCTGGCACCCATACAAACTACTGAGTACAATTTTGAGTTGCTGCAATGAAATTTCATCAAAATGAACTATTTATTAAATAGCACAACAACAGTCGCCTCGAAGCCTCACCACATCATTTTTTCACTTCGCTTTTTGGGCTGTCTTTGAATTGAGCCCTCTGTAGATTGATGATTTTCATTCCCATCGAACAATGTGACATCCATCCATTCCTAACACATTACCCAGTTCATATCAGTTTTTCCCCCATTGAACTCTGATGTGTTTTCAAAATGTTCCTTCAATTGTTTTAAGCAGTCTGTTTGACATCAGGTGAAATCAAAAGCAAAGATACATACAGGCATAAAATTACAGCTGACGAGTCATTTTCACATTATTGTTTTTGTAACCAAAGTGTCTCAACTCAAAAACATCATACATTGACGCAGCTGTTGGAAAGATTTCCACATGCAAGGAGTATGCTGTTCTCCTCCTTATGCAGCCTGCGCATACATTTATACATAAGGCTTCTTATCGCTCCCTGACATGTGGATACAATTCTGCTGACAAATATATATATGTGACACTATAAAATGATAGCAAAAACATCCTTGTGGCTTTATTGTAGGCAGTTGTAGGTTTGCTGTTTTTATACTTAGTATTATACAGGCGTGCCATTGAAAACAGGAAAAACAGGCACTGACATCGGCTCTTCTTTACTTCCTTATCAATGAAAGCCAGTTTAAGTTAGCGTAACTGGTGTGGCCCAGCGGCCCAGAGCATGTCCTTTCACCTCAGTGAAGGAAGAATTAATACATTTCATACTGGAGTTGTTGCTAAAGGGTTTTTTAAAATGGCCTGTGCAAAGTTATTGTAAATTATTGTTAAGTCATTAAAATAAGTACATTTTTTATTTGCGGTCATAAATTTTTATTACAAGTGTCTGTCCATCCGCTCATTGGATGGCTCAGTGGTTGTCTTTTAGGCCAGCACACCCTCTTTACTGAACCCAAATCCCAAAAATACAGACTAATTAAAATCCCTGAATGTTAATAGTGGGACTACCTAATAGTGTGACTACTACTTATTTATTATAAATTCATTATATTTTCATTATTCAGTTATTTTTATTAGTAATGTTAACAGTGTTTGATATCCTGGGGGAAAAAAGCAATTTTGTTGCCAAATAACTGATTTAATTTAGCTGGAATATTGTTTGACATATGGAAAGAAATTATTTCAACAGTTAGAAATTTTACATTCAAATTTTAATTACATCCTGTTATTGATCACGAGCAGCAGCATAACCAACCATGCCAAACAAGAAGCATTTAATTGTTCCAGATCACCGAAGCAAGGGAAAAAAGTCAGAAGCAACAACAACAACAAAAAAAGAACCCCAGAAGGATTTAAGCTTAACTTTCAAAGCAAATAAGCTAAATTGCTTTAAAGTTGGCGTGAGCCCTGTGCCTGGTGGTTCTTTGCCAGCTTTTTTCTTTTTTCTTTCACTGCGGGTTGCAGAGAAGTTAGTTTTATCCATAGTGCGCCTGAGGCCATCGAGTCCAAGCGATTGCTGTACTTGGACTGCATGTAGAGGAGCTGGCCGAATCTCTGCTCAACGAGATATGTTGTTTGGACAGCAAGAAGAAACAGGCCAGTCGTCTTCCAAAGAGCTGCATAACACAGGGCATGCTGACCTTACAGTTCCTTTTATTCACACATTCAAAGGATTTTAGCAAGAACTTTCAGACTGAGCAGCAGTGCAAGTTTGCCGGGCTCAACTGGAACTACGGCATGCTGCTGACCGAGCTTGTCAGGGGTCTTAGTTTTGGTTTTAGACCAGTGCTATCAGTTTTGTTTTGGGTTTTTTTGTATTTGTAAATCAGGATCCTGCATCACAGGTTGGTGGGAGGTGAAAACCCACACAGTCACAGGAAGAAGCCAAAAGCAAGCCACGAGTGCGAGCCACTCCACCGCCGTGCTGCCCCATCGTGGGTTTCTTCATTCTTATAAGCAGTTCAACCGGATTTTATATGAGGAAAGTACTTTGGTGCTGTTATTGCACTGAACACAGACGTGCGAGTTGTCTGAGAGGATAAGGCCGACGCATCTGTGACCACAGCTGCTAGTGTTATTAGGAGTTGATTCGTGGGGCTGTAGGCAACCTCCCTGTGTGAGGCTGCAAGAGGAATGCCCAAATTGACCAGAAGAAAAGTTTCACTGATTTAAAAAAAAAAAAAGAAAGAAAAAGGGGAAACTTCAAAACAGAGACAAATTCCAAGAGCTTTCTAAATGATTGTAAGCTCCATTGAAGAAGGCAAAGGGAGGTCCAGCTTTTGGAAGTCAAACATAAAAAAGCCAAACTGGTGTTTAGTTAACTCTGTGAGGTTGACTTTACTCTAGCCCTATTTTTTATTTTGGGAGGATGGGGGATGTTCGTTTGCTCTTCTGAGTTTCCTATTCTTCTCTTTTTAAAAAAAAAAAAAAAAAAATAGGCATAGCATTAGAGCATAGCATTAGAGCTAGGGTCGATTAGACCTCAGATAACAGCAAAAAGGGATTCTTGTCCCTCATAAACACAAAGCAATAATTGTAAGTATAATCAAAGGTTTATTAACCAAATTCCAAGAGCTTTCTAAATGATTGTAACGTTAAATGTAACATTTTACATTACACATTTGCTACAAGATTACAAGTAATTAAGTCCATAATGTAATTATACGAATGTATTTACATGAAATTAAATGGTTCTGGATTACATGGTTACATACATGTAATCAGATTACTTAAAATCAACATTTTGAGCATGATTTTTTATTTTTTTTTTGAGTGCAGGGTTGTAAAATTAAAAAGTGCTGGGAGACTCGCTGTAATGCTGCGAGAACGTCCTTTGAACACATCAAACTAATTACGAGCTTTTTGATACGGCGCACGAGTTCAGTGTTCAGAAGAAAAAAACGCCACTGGAAAACACAACCCCCTTCTCACACATTTAAGATGTACTCGCACTAGGTATGACTGCTGTAGCATGATTGTTGTGTGTGTGTCCCCAAAAACCCCTGCTGATTGACTCTCGCATTACTCTTTCCCTCTCTCGCTCTTTCTTTTCGATCACACGTGCTTTCAAATCGTGCTCCTTCAACTGACATTTTAGTCATTCTGTGACTCAATTAGGGAAGGGGTGACACGTTGTCCTCGCACTAGCTTGTTAATTACTTAAGAAAATGTTCACAAAGACATCTGTTGTTGAGAAAGCGTTAGAAATCCATGCGCAGCGTGCGCAAGTCCAAATGAGCTGCACCCAGGTCCAATTCTTCAAGCGAGCCGGGAAAGAGTTTGCTTAATCGCTAATCAGACAAACTGGACTTGGGGGCAAAGGAGCCTGATGCGACGCCTCCTGTAGCTGTGTTTTAGAATCAGCCTGCTTTGCTGCGCCTGGCAGAGGGTCGAATCTGTGCTTATCAAAGGCATTTTAGAGCGAGACGCGCTGCCTGGTGTCAGAGAGCTGCGTTTCAGTCGGAGGTCGCGGCTCCTCCGACAGGATGAGAGCCCAAAACACACGTTTAAAAGCACCCAAGAAACACGGGGCCATTTGAAGTGGTCAGCTGTGTAATCTTAATCCAACTGAATATTTATGGAAAGAACTGAGACGCACTGTTGGGATAAAAGCAGCCATAAACCTGAAGGAAGTGCAGTCGTTTTTAGTGAAGTTTTAGAAAATTCAGAGAAGGGCATTTGTTCTACAAACAATAAAAATCATGTCGGGTAAAAGGAAAATATCAGTTTTATTTTTAAGCAAACAAGGTCTCTGATTAGGATGTAAGAGTCATGTAAGTTCAGTTTTACATCATCAGTGTTTTTACGCCTTGTTATTGTTTCTGTGGACAGATCAGCACTAAAAGGAGGAATTACTTATCTCGATGCAGTGTTACGTCTCCGCGAATTTAGTCTGCAGTCTGTTCATTACAAGGATAATGTGTAGCTCGTTACAAAAGAGAGTTATCTCTGGATACAGTGGTGCCACTTTCCTTTTAAACGGGATTTCTGTCCTTATAAAAAAGGGTTTACAGTAGCTCAGGAGGACTTTGTACTGTTTTTCTCAACAGTCTAACTAAATCCACTGGTTGTTTGTTCTTACACTCTGAAAGGACCCATGTAAATGCTTTTGAAACAAGAGTAAGGAGTGGTTCCATCTGTTCAGCTTTCACTTCATTTTACCGTAGGTAAGCTGTGGCATCTTTACTGCTAGCTTACAGCAGGGAAAACATCATGATTTGGGTTAAAATCCACTTTCTACAATGATAAATGCATATGTGAAAGCTCCACTCTGGCCCCAAATGTAAAGAAAAAAAAACATGCTGTGCAACATGTTGACATTTTGAATTCATAAGCATATTAAGAATGTCCCTAACATACACAATGCTAAAAATAAGATTATCACTCAGGACTATTCTTCAGCTGCAGTGGCTGTGGCCATCTGTACTATGTAAATTAGAAGGTATTAATCTTGTTGCTTCGGCAGTGTCGCAAATTTACTCCAGGAGTCTCACAGTAATGCTATTCACTGGGATGACCTAATTGCCTCTAAATACCTATATTTCAAGTGACGGTGTTGTCTAGGCAGGAGTATGGAGGTGTAGTATAATTTTGCAAAACTAGGCTAGTGTCTCAGTCAATGTCACTTTGAGCTGCAGTGTAATAAATACAACACCAGACAAGCAAGAAACAAAAGAAAGTAGCATGTACAGTTTCACTGTACAACCTGTTTCAACTAACTTTGTCCACCTTGTCTCACTAGCACCAGCCCTGCCCACAAGTACTATCTGGCCATGGACCCGAGGGGGGAAGTTCTGTATGTGTCTGACACCAGCAGTCGCAGAGTTTACAGGGTGAGGAACCTCGGGCAGCCAAAAGATCCATCTCGCAATCTGGAGGTAGTTGCTGGGACGGGGGAGCAGTGTCTACCTTTTGACCAGAGCCACTGTGGAGAGGGCAGGAAGGCCACGGAAGCTGCACTCAATAACCCTCGAGGTAGGACAGCCTTCAGCCCTCCAGGTGAATATTTACAGATCTGTTGGTCAGTACATCTGTTGGTGCATTTAGCTGGAGTTGTTGCCTTTGGCTAGAAAAACAGCCGTAAATATCAGGATTTTGATATTGGCGCGGCTTGTTACGCACCCACATTTTATGCGGACTGATTGTGCTTCAGCACATCTCACCGTTCAGTTTCATTCCAGTGCCTTAACTATCAGGATTGAGATCATTATAGGACACAAAGCTTCTATGACAATCTCAAAACGCCACACTGATAACATTGGAACAGTGATACTCTGTGTGCTTTAAACATCTTTGGTTCAATATCCATGTGAGCGAGTGATAGCATCTTTTTAAAATCATAATATTGATAAAAAGACCTTAGATACTTTATCATGTTTTCATTACTATACTGATAAATCTATTTCAGTCGGATGCTTTTTCACATTATATTGAGTTATTGATTATTTAGATATTATATATTAAGTATGAGTGATGCTGCAGAGCTAAAAAAACTATAAAAGCATGTATGCTTAAGAAGAGAGCGTGGTGAGCTCTTGTTATGGAAAGTAAGTGACTCTCAAATCATTGTACCAGCAGGAAGCTGCAGCCACAGTGAAGTGCATGCAAACGGGGCTGATTAACTCACTGAAAACAGCCACAGAACGTTGAAAATTCAGTGTAACAACGATCCCAATGTTGTGCACCGCTGCCTCGGAAAAAGGTCATAAAGACCCGGTTCATGCCATGTTATTATGGTTTCTTTCTGCCTTTCCTCATCACTGTAGAGCTGGCCGGGACAGTAAAGGCTAATTACAAGCTACGAGCACGGCTGGAGTAAAGACAGTGCGGCTATGGGAAGATAACCTGTGCACACATGTAGCAGTGAGCAAGGAAAGAGAGATAGCCCTTTACAAATCTTTACAAATGAATGCAAGCTGCACAGCCAGTGTTAAACATATTCAGTATTATGGACATGGCCATTTGGTTATCGTTTTCTTTATAAATTACTTTTCCCTGCATTTTGTGTACAGGAAACATTTTTGGATTTAATGTGCACAGTGAGCTCATGTTCTGTTTGTCAGACGAAGGATAATTATAGTGCAAAGTGATTAACATGACTCTTTAAATTATCCCGCCGACTTCAGAGCACGTTTCAGTCGGGTGTATACTTATTATAATGAAGCGAAAATTAGCCGTGCACCTATTGCAGGAATGACTCATGTTATGTTTTGACCAAAGTGACATTTAAAGCTTTGTTTCTCATATGATTTGTTGAATTAGCACGTGCACCACATGCCCTCAAATATTTAGATAATCCCATGGCATTAAAATTATGTTTAATTGGTTCAAAGCTCCAACTGTTCACTGCCACAAAACACCCCATCACAGTCTCACCAGCAGCCCAGCTACATGGATAGATTGATGGATTCATGCTGGTTGTGCTTTTTCACCACCCTGCCATCATTATTTTTTATTTTTTTTATGTAAATTGATTTAACCAGGCACCACTATTATATAATGCAGTTGTTATATAGCTCCTGCCATTCATTTGTACGGTGCTAAAACTTGAAAGTTGCCTTTTAAAGTCTTTACCTAATTTACCCTAAAAAATAACAGTAATACTGTTATTTTGCTGGATTAAAAGCAGACTGCCTGCCAGGGTACAGCTAGACCTTTTCCACAGCAGACACTTTGCCATGGCACAGTAGGACCAGAACAGGTGTGACTAATAAACTAATAATCATGGCTGCAGTCCATTGAGGTGCTCTAGTTTCAGGCTCTGGTATTATGTATGCTGACTCACTGTCAGGGCTTCCACTTCAATGGAATAAGGCCATTGTTAATGCTGTTCGCTGCACCTGTGCTTTTCTTGCTTTAACAACTCCAAATGTCTCTGTGGAAAAAAAGTAGAGAAAGGTCTGTTTTTGGCTCTGTGGTTCAAAACACCCCACAATGTAATGACTGGAAATGGAAAAGGGGAAAAAAAATCTATTCTTCATTCCACGGACTTGTCCACAAAGCCTAATTTAGACGAATTACCAGAAAATATGTCATGAGGATGTGACTTAGAGCATGCTTTCCATCATTTTTTTTGTGCTGACTGCTCACGGTAACACAGTGCACCCTCGAAGCTGCAGTCAGCACACAAACACATGTACTTACTTAGGTTTCAGGTCGGGTTGCGTTCATGGACATTTAGTTTGTGTAAGCACCATTTTTTCACCTTTTCTTTTTAAAAAGAAACCATTAAGTTGATGAATTAAGCATAGCCTAAGTAAACTTAAACGTAAACCCAAATTACTATCACACCTGCAAACAAGTTGAAAAAAGAAATCAGGTGTAGGGATACAAACATGTGTGAGAAGTGTTCAGCATTGTGTAAAAATCTTGAGCCACCCCTCGTTTCTTTATATTTTGCTTGTGATGAGCCACAGATAGCAAACTATAAAGCCTTACAGGGTGACTCAAGACTTTTGCACAGTACTGTGTCTTGCATTAAACTTGTATATGTTTAGTTTGAGTGCAAATGTGTGGCAGTATTATGATAAATCCATCAAACAGCAAGAAGTTTGAATCATGAATTCATTAGAAAGTAAAAAATAAAAGTTTCCAACCTTGAAACGCCAAGTTTATCGTACATGACTTTTTAAGACCTCTACATCATCAGGGGGATTTTTATTGTAAACAACATGTTTACAATCAGACACATGCTGTGCTCATACATGCAAATTTATATTATCAGAAGGTTGAACAAACACCTTTTACAAGGTTAGATTATAAACTATAATAACAGAAAGTTACAAAATTGTAACAAATTTTAGCATTCAATAGATTGTTTATGTGCATTAAATTAAGCAACTTACGAAATGATTAACTTATCTGCGTTTGATTCTCGGCTTTTAGGGAGAATGTTGGCAGTCGTGTCCTTGTATTTCACACAATATGTGTTTCAGATGGTCTCCTTTTGAATATACTTCAGATATTCGCTGCAGAAAATTCTACGCATTATAAACTGAAAGCCTAAATTTACCTATCTCCAAATTGTCCTGGTCTAGTCCCTAAAATATTCAGTTTCAAATCCTTCTCTGTATGCACACTGTGGCTGTGGTAACAGTCATAAATTCCTGTGACGCAGAAGCGCTGTACTCTTCTGTCTCTTCTGTAGACTGATTAAATCGCCACGTTATTTTGCTCGTTTCTGTCTACAAGAGAAATATTTTTATCTTGTTCCTAAGGCAAGGGAAGTTTGATCTTTGTTAAAATGACAATAATAGTTCAACTAATAGGGTAAGCATGGCTTCCCCTGGCTTACAGGGGGAGAAAGCACTTGTAGGCATAAACTTAAACCAGAATATGCCTGTCATATTAAGCGTTTCTAATGCACAGAAGTCTGCAGATTTAGTTTTTCATTCCCTCCTAGCTTTAGCCGGGTTCAAGCAATTTAAATTAATGCACATACATTTCAGACATTAAGCCCGGGGTGTTGATTTGAATTGGTTAATCGTTCTGCCCTCACTTATTAGCTGACAGGAGTGGATTCCAGCTTTTCCTGCTATTGTCTGCCATTGCACGACTACATTTTAATTCCTTTTGTTCTGTCCTGGCTGTGAGCTGTAGCAAATTTAACTGGTCTTGTCTGACTTTTGTCATCAACCCACAGAATACCTGGGGTTAGGGATTTTTTTTTCTTTTCTTTTGGTCCCTTACACTCATAGCAGTTTGGACAATAGTGGTGAGAGAAACAGTCTTCGTCTATAAAGCGGTGCTGAATGTGTTTATTGTATATAGTGCTGCAAAATGTGTTCCAAAAGAAGAACGACAACAGATGGTGTGACCTCCGCAGGCTGATATAACCTCAATATCATAGCGACAGAAGCCTAAATGTGCAGAGAAACTGCAGCAAGTTCTCAGAGATTCTCACAACAGCTTATCTGTGTGTGTAAGAATCTGAGCTGTTTTAAAAACACAGAGAAGCAAACACAGACTACTGATTTAATTTATTTTTCTGTTAATGTTCATCTGCGTCTTCACATTGCAGAGATCCATATTTTTGCAAGCGTATGTTGACAATTCATCTCAATTTAGCCGTCCTTCACACCCACACGTTATATCGTTTATTCTGTGATGTACTGTGCACCGTGACTGTATGCACAGACAAAGGGTGATGCAAATATAACTGCACAAGTACAGCTCCAGGTTGCCTACTGACTAATGCTACAGTTTGCAGTAAAGCTCGAGCGCTCGTATGCAGAAAAAGCTGCAGTTCACTTTATTTGGTCAGTGACTCTGAACTCACCGCGGATTAAAATCAAATGTCATATGCTACATCAGTTGTCCTCCAGGATGTCACACTACAAAGGTTAAAATGGCAGATTTTTTGTTCCTGCCTTCCAGCGTTCAGTCTCCAAGTGTCACGGGAGATTTTTTAGCCACAGGCCTGTCACTCAGGCTACACCCACAGTCCTGCAAGGCCTGTTCTGTCAGTCATACTCAGCGTGCGCCTGCGACGCCGTCCGACGTCGGAGGCAGACAGCCGGTCGATACAGAGCGCAATAAATAAACGTAGCGTGCCTCCGTTCTTTAAATGTCACTAAACACAGGGAAGCTCCAGGTTTGATGGGGGATGTTTGATTTTAATTTCCTCCATCTTCTGGAGTTCATTCAGATATATAAAAGGGACTAGAGGAGGAAAAAAGAGAAACAAGAAGATGATAAGCGAAAAAGATCGCGGTTGACTCGTACTACCATTTGACACGTGATCTGTGGCCTACTGCTCTGTGTATACGCGCTACTTACACCTTAGAACATGCCATATCTCTGCCTTCGTGCAGTAATAGAATATTCTGTCCCAAGACTCCTCTTGTTCACTCAGGGTGCGGTAATTTATACTGACTCATTGGAGTTCACAGAGTCTCTTCTGTGGCTATTGTGCTCCTACTAACCAGCTCTTATAAAGGATCTAGAGATTTCTGCCTGGAGCCCCTCGGTTCGCT